GGCGATGGAAGCGACGGCGGCGCCGACGCCGACGAGGACGCCAGCGGCGACGCGCGCGAGCCGAGCGCTCGGAGCGGGCCGCGACGCCTCGCCGCCCGAGGCGCCCGCCACGGCGCCGGAGCTGGGGCCGCCAGCGCGCCGCAGGGCCTCGCGCCGGCGGCGGCGACGACAGCAACCCAGGCAACTGGTAGGGGGTCGCTGCAAACCTGAGATCTGGGAGTCGCAGTTTCTTCGCAGCGGGCGTTTCCGCCCGCTTTTTCGGGCGGTTTACCTCGATGTTCTAATCTATTTCGCGGCGTCGGATGTCAGGCGGGTGTCCCCGGCCCAAGGTGACCCAGCTGTTCGCTCCGTTTTGGAATCCATGGGGCCCTCTGGGCCTCGTGAGGGGCTCTGGAGACCGTGGGTGCCTCCTTGGGAATCCTTGGGGCACCTTGAGCCACGGACACCTCTGGCAACACCCGATCCAGAGACTCGGAAATCGCGGGCCCGAGGTCCCTCTGCAATTTTTGTTCCCTCAATTCGAATGCGCATCAGCAATCCTTCTTGTGCTGTTCGCTGTGCTTACACATGTGTCTCTTGTGGGCAGCTTCTCGGCCACCGATGACCCAGCAAATTGCACTGTGACTCGCCCATATCCAACTAGACATGCGCAACAGCCAAGAACGCAGAAACGTTGATCTACGCATCAAGGCGATGCTGTACATTGCACCGGATACGAAAAGCATACAAACGATCATGGCACTGCATCCGCAATCTAAGACATCAACGCATCATGCCCATGAATTCTTTGAGATCGATCGCACCGTCACCACTCGTGAGGTTTCTCTGCATTGTTGGCCCCTGGAGGCCTGTCTCGGGCCCTGGGCCTGTCGAGAAAAACGATTCGGTAAGAGCAGCCCGTCCTGGGGAGAGTCGACAGGTCCAGGGCCCCGAGGCTCGAAAGCGCCGAGTAGCGTCGGAGGTCTGGGCTGACAGACGCCGACGCCGGCTCGGAAAGCTTGCCAGGACGGGTCCGTTTTGAACAAATGTTTGCGGGGGAGCTACCGGGACCGCGCGCAAGCACCGCACTATGTCAGAACTCCCTTCAGGCCTCGCCCCCGTGCGTACGGTACGTATTTGTCTTGCTCTGTGGGGGCCGAAAAACTATGCACCGTACCATTCCTGGGTCGAGGATCGACGAAACCTCGAGAAGCACCAACGCGGTATGGTGCACACATATTGTCCGCGGAGGAAGGGAGGGGGGCGGCGGGGGCAAGCGCCGAAGGGCGGCCCAGGGCGGGGACACCGGGCGGGGACAACCGTACACCAGCGGCGGTGAGGATGGCGGCGGCCGAGGGCTACGAAGGCGAAGATGAGGGCGTGAACGAGGCCACGACGAGAACGACGGCGACGACGACGACGGCGACGACGACGCCGACGACGACGATGCCGACAACAACGACGACGACGACGACGATGACGACCGAGGATGAGGACCACAACACCAAAAGGATGAGGACGACAGTGACGACGACGGCGGCGGGGGCGAAGATGAACAGAGGAAACGGTGGAGGAAGGGGGAACGCAGCAGGACCGGGGGGGGGAGAGGGCCAGGGCTAGAGGTTCACGACCTGTCACAGAGGCCTGCAAGGGGCAGGGTCAAGAGAATGCGCAGTGGTCGGCCTCGACCTCCGCCGCCCGTTCGATGAAGTGCTCGCCTTGCAGATACCAAACGCCGACATGCCCATTGCGGTTGCCCCAGGACCCGAGAAACCCAGAGAGATGAAGCTGTGCACGTCAGAGGTGCGCAGGCACGATGGTGAAACAAGCCGCCATGGTACAGTTCCAGCGGCTCCGCTGTAAAACAAGGGTGAACAGTAAGGAACGCGCAGACTCACTTCAGGGCCCCAGCGAAAAACCCAGACGGCGGAAAAACGCCAATCGTGATTCTTGCCGACGCGCCTGGAGGTCTGGGCTCATTGTTGTTTTGCGGCCGCTAGAAGACAAGCAGCGGTCGATCGTACAACAGCGGGGCGCGCTAGGCGAAAAGAAGCGCGCAGCGCGGGGCGGCCAGGGGTGTTTGAGTCGAAGGGCCACACCCACACCATGAGGACGGCGTGCGAGCCGAAGAAGAGCGGCAAATAGAGAGTCCGGGCACACTGGAGGCACAAATTCGGCGGCACGCAGGAGGCGAAGCGAGGGGGGACGCGATCCTCCACGAAGGCACGGAACCCCTTCGCGGCGCTCGCCGAGCCTACGGGGAAGGCTTCCTGGAGGGCGCGAGGGCCCACCGCACCCTTCCAAGGCCTCCCCCCTCGCCCCGTCCGCACACCGTGGAACCGACCTCCATCCCCACTGGCGTGGCACGGGCCCCACCAGCCGGCCTGCCCCCCGCCACTCTTCCGCAAATGGGGGCGCACACGGCTGATCGTCGGGCACCTCGTGCCAGGGGGCTGGCAGGCAACCCTGCCCCAGGACGGCCATAGCCCGTATCCCCCGAGCGAGACCATCAGTCGTAGAGGATGCGTCCGAGGGCCAAGACACCCAGGCTCGAGTCCTGCTGGCGGCGAAAATCCTGCGACGAAGACCGCCATGCTGAGCCACACCCGCCACCCAGATTAACTCTCAGACCTCCTGCGTCCACGGAGGCAGTGCAGAAAATACAGCAGGAAATGCGAGATGCGACTCTGGAGAGGAGCCGCACAAGAACGAGTAACGACTGCACGGACGGCGCGCTAAAAGAACAATGGAAAATTCGAATCATACATAGAAAAAAAAAAAAAAAAAAAAAAAAAAAAAAAATTGGCGCTCCGCGCGGATTTCCTGGATTCCCGCTGGACCCCCCTCCATGGCGCGCGGAGCGCGCCAGGGGCGGCGCCGCAGGCGCTGCCAGGGGGCCCCAGCGCAGATCCAAGAAATCCGCGCGGAACTTTCAAACCTTATGTTTATGCCGTTTTTTCTTCGAATAAAAAGCGGACGCGCAAACAGAAGAAACATACGCAAAAAAAATGCCACTGCGGGCGCAGGAGCCGACGAACGCGAACCCAGGAGCCATCCAAGTCCGAGCGCGTCGCGAAGGATGCTGCCTTCAGGTATCCGTGTCAAGAAGGGAGAGGCCAGCGCCCTTGCCCTGCACGTCGCCGGCGCATGAGGGGCGACCTCCCCTGGGGGAAGCGACAGCCAGCAGCGGTGGCGACAGGAGTCCCGCACTGGCCTCCGGAGCAAAAAGTCATATGCTTCAAAATTCCGCAGGAATGCGTGGACGGCTTCGACCCCTGCAAAGGGGCCCCGGGCCCTTGGGAAAGCAGGAGACCCAACCTCAGGAGGAGGCGGAAAAGCAACGAGGGAGGAACGAGGATAGCCAAGGAGGAGGGAACGGAGAGAGGAAGAGGTTGGGTCCCAAGCCTACCCCAAAGCCAGAAGCCCCCAAAGGGCCAAGGAACAAATGTCCACGAACGCGCCCGAGACGGGGGATAAAAAACTACAGCTCTGTCGTAACGGCGCTCGGCGGCAGGAGATACATCGATTCTGTCGCAACGGCGCTCGGCAGCAGGAGGTGCGTCAATTCTGCCGTCATGGCGGCGCCCAGCGTCAAGGAATACAACAATTCTGTCGTAACGGCACTCGGCGGCAGAAACGACGATTCTGTCGTAAGGGCGCCTGGCGGTGAAAAAAACAGTAATCCGGTCTTAACGGCGCTTAGCGGCAAAAGCAAGGATGCTGTCGCAACGGCGCTCGGCGGCAGAAGCAACGCGGACTCAGAGAACTGCCGGATCCTGGATGCTTAGCTTATCGCGCACCTTCATCGCTGCCGCCGCGTGCGACGCGCCTGACCGCACAAGGAGCCAGTCACGCTGGGCACCTCCGCGCTGCTGGAGCCTGGGCACCAGGCGCTCCAGCCGCCACAGGATCTTCTCCAGCGGCGTCTACTCGCCGCTCCATCGTTTCATGTTCCCAAGCACGTTCATGCACTCCACGCTGTAGCGCTACTGCTCGTGGGAGGGGCCGCCCATACCTGCAACCGCAGTGGTGTAGCCGATGGCCCAGTTCACCTCCTTGGGATCCGGCTTCTTATTATAAGCATTATGAGTATTATAATTGATATTATCATTAGTGTTACTATTATTCCCAGTCTCTTCTGCGACCTGTTGTGCGTCGTCCACGTTCAGTTTGTCACCCCCAGTGGCCTGCTGGTCGTCCTCCGAGTTCAGCTTGCCGTCCCCCGTGACCTGCCGGCCGACTTCCGCGCGTGTCGCCTCGTCCTCTGTCTCCCTCGCTCCCTGGCCCGCACTCGGCGCAGCCTCTGGGAACGGCTGCCCCGGGCCTTGCGCAACCCGCCAGCCTCCTCATCGCACGCCGGCTCCTTCCCCCGCCCCAGCCCGCACTCGGAGCATCCTACAGGGAGGGGCTGCACCCTGCCGCATGCTCCATGATCTGCTGGTCACGTGCGGCACGTCGCCCTCTGAGAGCCGCGGACTGTGGACAGCGCGACGTCCTCCGCGGCCTGCTGGGCATCCTGAAGTGTTCGGCGGGATGCCCTGCGTGACCTGCTGGCCGTGCTCCGTGCTCAACTTGCCGCCTTTCGCGGTCTGCTGCTGGCCGTCCTACGTGCAAAGCGAAGCGCCCTCGGTGCCTGGTTGCCGTCCTCCGCGTTCTGCTTGTCGCCCTCCGGGGCGCGACCCTCATCCACCTCCATGTCGGGATCTGAGACGAGGTCCCCAGGGATGAAGGTGCTGGATAAGCCGGTGCCAGCCTCCGACAAAAGTGGACTCGTCTGGACTTCAGCTCGCGGTGGCGTTCCGAAGGACTGCCAAGCAGTAACCATCCCCAGCGGTTGTAGGAAGTCCTCCCACGAGGCAGCCATCGCATAGCTTGGCATGGCCGACCAGGGGCCGCGGGAACGGGGAGGGGCCCTCCCCGTTCCCGCGGCCCCTGGGCGTCCGCGCAGGGGCGGGGGCGGGGCGTCCGCGACTGGCGCCCGGCCGCGGCCCCGCCAGGTGGCGGGAGCGCTCGCGACCGCGGGCGCCGCGGGCGGCGCGGCGGCGTGCGGACGGCACGACCCGTCGCTCCCTCCAGGCGCCCCCATCGGGACGATCCAAATGGGTACGGAAAACATGGGTATGATACCCAACAGCAGTTCCTATTCGTCTTAAACAAAGATCGTTACCCGCGCCGCCGCGGACGCTGTTCACTGTTCACTGAAGACAAAAAGCCGCCTGCCCAACAGCGGCCGCTGCCGGTTTTGGACAACATTTGTTTTTGGGCAGTGTGCCCATTTTTACCCGGACCCATTTCGGGCGTCCAGACCCCAGCGTCGCTCCCAGCTCCACAGATTACCAGCCTCGAACTTATCCCTATCCCTAAGATTGACACGCCAAAAAGCGATGACAATCTGGGGGATGCGCCCTCAAAAAATACGGGAATCCCTAAGATTGGCATCGTGATGAGGAGATGTCCAGCATAGGGATAGGGATATGCTCCAGGCTGGCAAACAGACGCAGCACCGGCTCCTGGCAGAACAGCCGCCCTTCCTGCGGCTCGTCGGTTTAGACGGTGTGAGACGTGCTGCCCTGCGGCTCGACGGGATGGCTGGCTGCGGCGGCTGAAGGCTTCCACCTCGGGCTCCCTGCTCCTCGAGGGCGTCCAGCGCCCAGGAGGGCGCACATCGTCCAACGCCGAGGCCCTCGACAGCGCTGGAAGCGGCTCGAGAGGCAGCGGTGGATCCGGAAGCGGCGCGCGAGTGGCGCACGACTTGGCCGCATAGGAAGAAGACAGAAGATAAGAGGGAGGCCGCACTTGGCGCAGGACTTGGCGCGCGAGTGGCGCACGAGTAGGAAGAGGATATAGATCAGGGGAATGAGGGATGTGGCTGCAAGCCAGAGCGGTTTGAGCCAGACCAGCCGATCTAACCCCATAGATGGGGATGTGGGCTGTTCCCTTCGGGTTTCGAGGGGCAAATCCCCAACTGGGGTGGTGGGATGGTGGGGATCGGGATGGGGATTGAGATGGGGAGAAGGATCGGTCAAACGATACTGAAAACACCTGCTCAGAACCCATCGGGTCTCTGGACCCCCCCCACCCTGGGTACATCCTGGCCACTTTTCCCGAGCCGCGCCCAGCAATGGCGAGGATAGCTTCCGGAAGTGCCCGAACACATCCAAGACAACCTCGACGACCAAGGCATCCGACTATATATGTGATGTTTCGTATCCGCGGGCCCCTGCGGCCTCCCGGGCCAGTATTTCGTCCAGACCCACTCCTGTTGGCCCCGCGGCTCAGAAGAGAGCCAGAAGAGACCGAAACCGAAGAAGAAGAAGAAGAAGAAGAAGATGAGATGATGATGATGATGATGATGATGATGATGATGATGATGATGATGATGATGATGATGATGATGATGATGATGATGATGATGATGATGATGATGATGATGATTATGATGATGATGATGATGATGATGATGAGGAGGAGGAGGAGGAGGAGGAGGAGGAGGAGGATGAGGATGAGGATGAGGATGAGGATGCTGATGATAATGATGATGATGATGGCGAAGAGAAAGAGAGAACAAAAAAACGCTTTCGATCCCTCCTAAAAAAAGGAAGAGGAAGAGGAGGAGGAAGGAGGTGACGAAGAATCCGCCCTGATGAGCCACCCCGAATTTTCTTCTGGGGCTCTGCAATGTGGACACTGCCCACTGGCTACGGAAAAGGCAAGAGGGGGGAGGAGGGAGGGAGGGGAGGATAAGGGTGAGGAGGGAAGAACTTGCCCAAATCCGCCAAGGTTGGAAAAAAACAGCCCGCTGGAGGTCTGGGAGCCCGAACCTCTGACGCCATGGTTCTTGTTCACCACGAAACTCATCACAGGTCTGGACACCGGGGACTGGCCCCTCGTGCCGAATGGTGGCGTGACCGCCCTAGGGCCCGGTCCGGGCCCCCCAGAGGCCGAAGATGGCCAAAACCCTGTGGCCGTGGTTTTTGGCTCGTGATGCGGGGAAGCCTGGGAGCGACGCCGTCACTCCCAGACATCCGACGCAGGGCTCGAGCGAAACAGTGCTTTGCGCGTTCGATGTGTTTTTGTTCTGCCTTTGCCGCGAAACGACCTCGAAGCGAAAAAACGGCCGACGAAATCGCCGAAACACCGTTTAGCCAGAGCCCTGATCCGACGATGTGACTCTCTCAACGCGCAGCCTCCAGGAGGCCCCGGCCCTCTCCCCGAAGGCAGCCTCCCGCCCTCGATCCATGCTTGATGGCCCCGGGGCCCGCGAACGTGCCTCGGGGACCGCCTTCGAGGAAATGCGCCGCGGCTTAAAAAAAATCGCCAGGGAGCTTGGATTGGCGCCCCTCCCCTCGCTCGCAGGCCCACGCCCCCCCTCCCCACCCCACCCCCAGTGCGTGTCGGGCCTGGTGCTCAACGTGGCAGTCCGAGCAGAGCACGAAGCCTCCCCGCTCCCGCGGCCCCCGACCACCCCCGAGAAGCGCGCCTGAGGGGGCACACAAGTCCCATCCTCCTCCTCCTCATCCTCCTCCTTCTCCTCCTCCTCCTCATCATCATCATCATCATCATCAGCAGCATCGTCATCATCATCGTCATCATCATCGTCAGCAATCATCAGCGACATCCTCATCCTGATCCTCATCCTCATCAGCAGCATTATAATCATCACCATCATCATCACCCTCATCCTCATCTTCATCCTCATCCTCATCCTCATCTTCATCTTCATCCTCATCCTCATCCTCCTGCTCCTCCATACACTACTCCTCCTGCTCGTCCTCTTCCTCCTATTCCTCCTAAACCTCTTCCTCCTCCTCCTCCTCATCATCCCCGTCCTCGTCTTCGTCCTCGTCCTCATCCTTCTCCTCCTCATCATCATCACATCACCATCACCATCCTCATCCTCATTATCATCCTGATCCTGACCCTAATCCTCATCCTCATCATCATCATCATCATCATCATCATCATCATCATCATCATCATCATCACCATCATCATCATAATCAGCATCATCATCATCCTTCTCCTCCTCTTCCTCCTCGTCCTCCTGGAAAAAAACACGTCGGAGCTAACCCTGGAGATCCAGGCGTCACAGACGGATAGCACGACAGGCATCTCGTGCCGAGTCTCAGTGCCCTCGCGGATCGACCCCGCTCGAGAAGGAGCGCCAGAGCCGGATAGGGCGACAGCACCGTTCGCGGTGTTTCGCGGCTGGGGGCCTCGGGGCATCGCTTCCTCTTCTGCCGCAAGTCTCGACGCCCAAGAGGGGTGTCGCCTCCCAGTCCAGAGCAAACGAGAAGGTAGTCTTCGGGGGGAAGTCGCGAGTCGTGGTGCAAGAGGGAGTCCTGGGGCCCAGGGGGCTTGCAGTTGCTGGCTGGGTGGATCAACTAAGGGCACCACTCATGCTTTGGTTCCCCCATTGGCGCGCTTTGCAGGGCACTGCGATCGAGCTGGGCACAAGATGAGCAGATGCCATAAGCGAGGTGAAAGGCGGCAACAGCGGTGGTGACGGCGTCACTCTGCCGACACTGCTGGTGCTGCACTTGCTTCTGCTGCTGACTGGTTGAACCAGCCTGATAGGTTGGGAGCGAAGAGAACGGGGGACCATGATCGTGTCGATCTTGATCACCGTCGATCTTGGTCAGCGTCAAGTCGTGGATCACCCTCGCGAATCGACGACCGTCAGCATGGGCCATGACCAAGATCGGCGTCGACAAAATCCCGCGACATCTTGGTCATGATCGGTGCTTCTCTTCCCCCGACAAGTGGATGGGTGGTAGGGGGGATGGGCCGTGATGAAGGCAGCAGAGGAAACGGGAAGACAGCGGTTAAACGCTGGCTGACGGGGGGGAGGCCGGGTGACGGTGGAGTACTGGCCAGGGCAGGGCTTCACCTAGCGAGCTCCCTCGGAGGGAACCTCGGCCATCGGGTGAAAGTTGTTGTGGCAGTGGTTTGGAGCCGGCTGGAGATCGGTTTTTATTGTTTCCTTAATAATCGTTACCTGGGGGGGCGGGGTTGGGGGCCCCGGGTAACGGCAGCGCCTTGGCGGGGTGGGGCGCGCACGGGCGGCGGTGCGCTGCGATCGCCATGAACACTAGCATGTGGGGAAGGGGTGTAACCCCACCCTAAGTACGATCGTTACCGTCACCCGTGGAAGAGGGTTTGCCCGGGTAAGGACTGTGACGCGCCAGAAGATGTAAAAACAATCCTCTAGGGTGCCAAGGTAACCCAGCACTGCCTCCAGCCGGCGAAAAGGAGGGAGAAAGCGCCCCTTCGTTTCCACGGCTAGACGCGGCTCGAGAAACTGATCAGTTTCTTTCCTGGGAGGGGTCTGTGGACCCGTTTTGATCGAATTGGCCCTCATCTCGCCCTCTGGACCGACTTTCTCTGGGATTGCCCAGCCGCCTCCAGGTTGTTGTTGTTGTTGTTGCTGTTGCTGTTGCTGTTGCTGTTGTTGTTGTTGTTGTTGAGCGTGGTGTTGTTGTTGTTGTTGATGTTGGTGGTGTTGCTGTTACTGTTGTTGTTGTTGTTAGTGGTGGTGTTGTTGGTGTTGGTGTTGTTGTTGATGTTGTTGATGGTGTTGTTGCTAGTGTTGTTGGTGGTGCTGTTGTTGTCAGTGTTGCTGGTGTTGTTGTTGTTGGTTTGTTGTTGTGTTGGTGTTGCTGCTGTTGCTGTTGTTGTTATTGTTCCTGTTGTTGGTGTTGTTGTCGTTGTTGTTATTGGTGTTGTTGTGTTTGTTGTTGTTGGTGCTGTTGTTGTTGCTGTTGTTGCTGGTGTTGTTGTCGTCGTCGTCGTTGTTGTTGTCGTTGTTGTTGTTGATGTTGTTGATGCTATTGTTGTTGTTAGTGTTGTTGCTGTTGCTGTTGTTGTTGTTGCTGGTGTTGTTGCTGCCGCTGCTGCTGCTGTTGTTGTTGGTGGTGTTGTTGTTGTCGTTGTTGTTGTTGTTGATGTTGCTGTTGCTGCTGTTGTTGCTGTTGCTGTTGTTGTTGTTGGTGTTGGTGTTGGTGTTGGTGTTGGTGTTGGTGTTGTTGCTGTTGTTGTTGCTGCTGTTGTTGTTGGTGTTGTTGTTGTTGTTGTTGGTGTTGTTGTTGTTGTTGTTGGTGTTGGTGTTGTTGTTGCTGTTGTTGTTGTTGTTTGTGTGTTGTTGTTTTTGTTGGTATGGTTGTTATTGTGGTTGTGGTGTTGGTGGTGGCGGCGGCCGACCAACGACGACACTGCTTGCACGTTCCCCCGAAAAAGCACACCCTTCCCCTGACAGCCCCTGCCAAAGTCCCCCACGAGAACGGTCATGCCCCGAAGGCCACCTCGCGGCCATGCCTCTCCTGGCGGCCCTGCTCATTCCCACTGGCTCTCTCTGCTCCGACTGCTGCACAAGCTCCGACATCCTGTCGGGGAGACGCAAGACTCGAGTTTGGAGGACTCGAGTTGGCCTGATGGGGCCGTCAGAAAATAGGACCAAGCCTGAATTTTGACGCGAGGTACCGCTCGCTGCAAACATCCCACGGACACTGGACCGTCTCAAATCCGAGACGGGCCCGTCAAAAAGCGTCGAAAAGCCAGAGCTCTGGCAAATTCGAATCTTGCGTTTCCCCGATCCTTCTGGCCACCTGAAGTCCAAAGGCAACCCGAAAGCCACGGAAGCAAAGGAAGAAGCATACCCCAACGTCTTCCCTGCCTCGTGGACCACGCAGGCCCTGGAACTCCGAGGCTGCCAGTCGTTCAATCCTGAACAAGCGTCACGGCACCTAAGAGTTTTCAGCTGTGCTGGTTTGCTGTGACATGGCAACCTCGCACCGTGCATGACTTGGGATCAGGTGTCACTGCCAGATTCTCTGCTGGCCTGTACAGGACGCACATGCTCCCGCATTGCAATACCTATCATCCTGCACAAGTCGCACTCCCAACCATCGCAAGTACAGCAGCGGTAACAGTCCCCGATCAAGGGTGATATCCCACCTTGGAACTGCTGCAGGTATGAACGTGACAAAACGACCAAAAGAAGACGACATACATATATACTAGAACCATCGCGCGCTTCGCGCGCGCTCAAGTTCTACCTAGGCTTGATGGGATGAACCATGGAATATCATTGTTGTCGCGTCTTGCATCCAAAGACTCTCTTGGAGGCCCTGCGCAAGCCTCGGAATCGTATAGGAGGGGAACTGCGGAAAAGCGGAAATCATTAATTCCCGTTAGGTATTCAACGATTTGGGGCCCTCAGAGGCTTCCTGGTTTCTTTTCTGGGAGCTGAGAGGGGCCTTAATTGTGCTCTGTTGTGCAAGGGTAGACAGCGGGCGAACTTGAAATTCGCCGGCCCAACGGGCCAGAGGCGTGCTAAGATCTCCGGTAACTGGTTAACAATATTTCTAGTTCGCGCGCGCGGGGCGGCCCCTGGGGGTCCCCCGGCGAAAGTACCCCGACCGCAGCCCGACCACTGCTACCCAGAGATGGTTTTCCTCCTGGGTGTGGCTTCTCAGGCCCCCCAGAGCGCGCCAAGAATGCCCCAAGAGGCCCCCAAGACTGCCCAAAGGGCCCCCGAGACGCCAAAAGAGCGCTCCAAGACGCCGATGATGACCCCAAGACGGCCCAAGAGGCCTCCAAGTGGCCTCCAAGAGGCCTCACAAGAGGGCCCCGAGAGGCCAAAATCATAAATGTTACAATGGTTTTGGAAGGATTTGGGCCTTGTCCCCTTTTCGGCCATCCGATGCTCCAAGACGGCCCAAGAGGCCCCCAAGAGCGCCCCAAGACGGGCCAAGAGGCTTCCAAGAGGGCCCCAAGAGGGCCCAAGAGGGCCCCGAGACGACCCAAGAGGCGCCCAAGACGGCCCAAGACGGCCCCAAGAGGGCCCCAAGAGGGGCCCAAGAGGGGGACCACGAACCGAAACCTCGCGCCTTCCGCCCCAAGAGGGCCCCGGAGGCCCCGAGAGGCCCCCAAGAGGCCCCAAGATGCCGCCAAGAGGCCCCCAAGAGGCCCCAGGAGGCCCCCAGGAGGCCCCCCAGAAGGCTTCAAAAATGCCTCCCAGTCGCCCCCGAACGGCTTCTCAAAAGACCCCAAGAGGCCTCCCAAAGAAGCATCTTGACGACGACCCTGTTTGGCCCCAAGAGCAACACAAGATGCCAACGAGAGGCTTCCTCCTCCGCCCCTTCCTCTTCTTCCTCCTCCTCCTCCTCCTCCTCCTCCTACTTATCTTCATCCTCCTCCTCTCCTTCTCATCCTCTCCTCCTTCTCCCCTCCACTTCCCCATCCTCATCTTCTTCCTCTTCGGCGGCGCCACAATGGCCCCGGGCCCACGGCGAAGCAGTAGCGATCATGCAACGTGGGCCGGCGGAATGAGCGAAGCGATTGAATAAAATGGAATTGTGGGATTCCCATTTTTTTGAAGTTGCCGCGCCTGGGCTGTGGGTTAGAAGTGCTCTGGATACAGGCCACGGTCCGTTGGGATGCCTCTCGGATCTTCTACAAAAATAAGCAGGTGGTGAGTTTGAACTAAAAGGAACTCAAATGTTCCAACTCATGGGATCATGGGATCTCGATTTCTACGGTGGTTTCAGGGGCAGCCAAAAGGACGCGAAGACGATCCAAGCGAGTGCCAAGACAGCGTCAGAGAGTTCAATATTCCCAAAACATCTTTGCATATGACCCCGAAGTCTTGATGGGGCTCGAGGAAGAAGATAAGGAGTAGGAGTCCCAACTTGAAAAGAAATAAATATCTGGAATTCCCTTTGTAGTCAGTTCCTCGGTCTTTGAGCGCTGGAGGCGGGGAAAACATGAGAAGGCGAAAAACGTCAACAAAAACCATTGGAAATCAACGATTTTACCCTCTTCGGGCTCTCGGGACGGCTGTCGAAGCTCTCTTGGGCTGTTTGGGGGGCCTCGTCGGGGCCCTTTTGGGAACCTATCAGGGGTCTGGGGTGTGTTGGAGGCCTCTGGGGGGGCCCGGAGTCCTCTCGGAGGTCTCTGGCGGCCTGCTTCCGCTCCTGGCCTCATCTTGGGCCTGTTCTGAGGTGGTCTGGAGCTGTCCTGGGCGCCTCTTCGGCAGTCTTGGGGCCGTCTTGGCCCGTCATGGGGCCGTCTTGGGGACCCCTTGGGCGGTCTCGGGGTGGGGGCCTCTTCGGCCGTCTTGGAAAATTGGAAGCATGAAATGGTGAGAAGGCCAAAGAACCAGACACAATAATGAAACATAACGATTTTGGGTTCTACGGGCGCTCTCGGGAGGCCTATCGGAGCTCTCTTGAGGTCTCTTGGAGGCCTCCTGGGAGCCTGGAGAGCCGCCTGGAAGCTGTCCTGGGTTGCTTGGGAGCGTCTTGGGCCGTTCTTTTACGTTCTGGGCGCTTCTTGGGATCGTCTTGGGCTGTCTTTGGGCATTTTGGGAGCTCCCCGGGAGGCCAGAAGGGCAATACCAGAAACGTAACCCAGATGTGAGCGAGGTGGAGGACGCCCCGGGAGAGGGGGGCCTGCTTATTTGCTTAGATCAGACACACACACATATACATATATATATATGTATATATATATATATATACATGCATACAAACATACATACATACATACCTACATACACACATACATACATACATACAAACATACATACATGCATGCATGCATGCATGCATGCATACATACATACATACATACATACATACACACACATGCATGCATGCATGCATGCATGCATGCATGCATGCATGCATGCATGCATGCATGCATGCATGCATACATACATACATACATACATACATACATACATACATTACATGCATACATACACGTACATACATACATATACATACATACATACAAGCATACACACTCACATAAATACATACATGCATACATGTATACATACATACATACATACATACATACATACATACATACGTACATACATTCATACATACATACATACATACATACATACATACATACATACATACACACACAAGCATGCATGCATGCATACACACATACACACATACATGCATACATACATACATGCATGCATGCATACGTACATACATATATTCATACGTATGTACATGCATGCATGCATGCATACATGCAGACATACATACATACGTACATACATACATACATACATACATATAGACATGCATGCATGCATATATATATATATATATATATATTTATATGCTTATAAATGTACACACACACATATACGGATGCATGTTCATATACATATACATGTATACATACCTATACATGTACATACACATAAATACATACACACATATGCATGCATGCATACATACATACACACACATGCATACTACATGCATACATGCATGTATGCATGCATACATGCATACATACATATATACATACATTATATACACACATAAATACATGCATGCATGCATACATACATACACACATAGGTACACACATACATACATACATGCATACATACACACATACATGCATGCAGGCAGGCATACATACAAACGCGCATATAGATACATGCACCAATACAATCAAACGTACAATGAAATGAAAAAAAATCCGGCACAACTTTCGCTGCGACCGGGCTGGACAATTCCTGGGCGCCTCAGGAGACCCAAGACAGCCCGAAACGACCGCAAGACGGTTCCAGACGGCTCAAAAGGCCCGAGGAAGTCCCGAAAAGACAAGCAAAAAACGGGCAAGACATACCGACAGGCTCTCAAGACGGCCCGCGGGCGTCCGAAGAGGACCGCCAAGAGGCCGCTAAGTGGCACAGACCTTAGCTGATACAAAAGATTGCCGTACGATTTTGGTATACCCGCCGTCTCGTCATCAGAGCTCCAGAACGACCCAAAAGGCTCCAAGTATCGCCCCAAGATGGACCAAAATGCGGTCAAAGAGGGACGCAACACGCCCCAAGAAGACCCCTGGAAGGGTTCCAGACGGCCCTAGCCCCGTGAAGGCCCCAAAACGACCCCGAGGGCCTCAAGACGGCCCAAGAAAATTCAAAGACGGCCCCAAGACGGTTTCAAAACTGCCCGAGGAAACCCCTCAAGAGGGGCACACTCGAAACTCTGGTTTAGCACTGCGATGGTAAGATAGAAAAATGCATACACACACATACACGCATAGATATATATATATATATATATATATATACATACATACACAGATACATACATACATACATACGTACGTGCGTGCGTGCGTGCGTGCGCGCGCACGTGCGTGAGTGCGTGCGTGCGTGCGTACGTGCGTGCGTACCTACCTGCCTCCCGATTTGCCGACCTACCGACATACCTACATACCCACCTAACCACCCACCGACCGACCTACCCACCTATCTACTTACCGGCCTTCATGCATGAATGCATACATGCATGCATACATACATGCAGATACGCATACAGACTTACATACCTACATGCATACATAACTAAATGCATTCAAACATGCATGCACGCATAGTTACATGCATATATGTTTACATACATGCATACATACGGAAAAACAGACAGATAGACCAACACACCTGTACGCAACACACATACAAATCTACATACATGCATACTTGTATGCATATACGTAGACGTACAATCATCCATGCGTACATACATGCATGCATGTATATATGTACATCTACATATACATATATATATATATATATATACACACTAGAACAACGCGCGCGCTTCGCGCGCGCTTAAGTTCTAGCTAGGATCATTCTCGCTGGGAGTTTGACGTAGCTTCTCGGGAGCCTCTGAACCTGTCGGGGGCCTCCTGGAAGCAGGTTCGAAGCATCTTGGGGGCCGATTTGGGGCTTCTCGGGGCCTCCTTTGGGCCTCTTGGGGGTCTCCCGGGGCCTCTTGAGGGGCCTCCTTGGGGCCTCCTAGCGGCCTCTTGGGGCGGAAGGCTCGAGCTTGCGGTTCGTGGTCCCCCTCTGGGCCCCCTCTTGGGTCTGTCTTGGGGCCCTCTTGGGCCATCTTGGGCGCCTCTTGGGCCGTCTTGGGGCCCTCTTGGGCTGTCCTTGGGCCCTCTTGGAAGTTTCTTGGGCCGTCTTGGGGCGGTCTTGGGCGCCTCGTGGGCCGTCCTGTAACGTCGGAAAGCCCAAAAAAACAACTTTGTGAAAAATGTACGTTTTACGAAGGGAATGGGCCAATGTTTGCGACGCATGTTGGAGGCTTCTTGGGGCGTCTTGGGGGCGTCCTTGGACGTCTGGAGGCCATCTTCAGCATCTTGGAGCCCTCTTGGAGGCCTCTTGGAAGTTTCTTGGGCCGTCTTGGGCGCTTCTTGGGCCGTCTTGTCTGACTGGGGAGGCCTCCGGCAAGCCCCGACGAGCCTCCGGGCCCCCCGGGGCCCACATTTGTGGTCGGGGTCCTGGCCCCGGGCCCCCGGACCCGGTGCGCCGTTATATGTATATATATATATATACACACACACACACACCAAGACGGCCTGAAGACCTCGCCCAGACATGCATATCCAGCAATACTGCAGGATATAATGTGGATCACTTTTCATTCACACCATGACAAAATAATCCATAATGCTCAGGCCTGCAGCATACAGAAACGATCATCTCGAGGTGCGAGCCTTTCAAGCACCTCGCGCCCGTAGCAGAATGCATCAAATTGCGAGCTGTGCAATAAGCTCGAGGGTGGCTGACGGTGGGCGGACTTGAGCAGCACGGATGCAGAGGCACGCGCGGGCATTCGCTGGCGGGCGAGCGAGGGCCGAAGGGTATTCACGTCTCTGACTATACACACCCCAAGAAAGCCTCAAGACCTCGCCCAGACATGCATATCCAGCAAAGCTGTAGGATATAGTGTGGAACATAGCGCTCAGGCCTGCAGCATACAGAAACGATCATCTCGAGGTGCGAGCCTTTCAAGCACCTCGCGCCCATACCCGTATCACGCACTGGTGGGCCCGCCACAACTTTCGAGGGCGGCTGACTAACTCCTGAGGCAGTTTAGCGCTTCTGCGCGCTGCCATCTTTTGCTTGGCCACGGGGATTTTCCTGAGCTGCTGAAGCAGGAGGGCGCCTTTCTCGTAGCGGGCCACCGACGCGGACGATGGATGCCCGGCGGCCGCGCTTCTGAATCTCCCTCAACGTCCGGCGACCGTGGGCCTTGTCGTTCGAGGCCCCGCTGCGCCTGAAAACGCGAGGGCGCACCTTGAGGGGCGCGTAGCCCAGGCGGTCCGAGCCGCGCTTGACCTCGCGCTCGAACTCGAGCAGGGCGAAGTTGAACAGCCTCTGGGAGTCGGGCGCCTTGGGCTTGAAAAGGAGCTTCATCACGCTCGCCAGCCACGGACGCGCCACGTCCCTGATCAGCATGCTGTCGTCCTGGCCGCCCGTCTTTGTCGTCTCGCACCACTCGGAAGGTGCGATGACCACGCCAAAGTGCTCGCCGAGCCTCGCGGCTGGCGCGGGCGGCAGGATCTGGCCCTGCCGGAGTTCCACCGTCTCGGAGGGCCTGAGGTAGGCGTCCGTCTCGAGCACCACTGCGGCGCCCATGAGCGGCAGGTCGCGCTCCACCAGGTCCAGCGCGATGTCGTCTACGATGATGTCGGGCAGCGGCAGGCGCACGCGGCCCGGGGCCCGCTTGGCCCAACCCTTCAGGGAGGCCAGCGCCTTCGGGAGCTCCACCTTGCCGGTCGTCTTGAGCCGCAGGAGCCTGTAGCCGTAGAAGGTGTTGCGGCCCTCCCCCACGCCGAAGCCGCCGTCGAACAGGTCCACGAAGCACTGGGACAGGGAGTTGTCGAGGCGGCTCAGCGGCTGCAGGTCGAGCTTCTTGGCCCTCGCGTAGACCTCGAACTCGTGCACCGCCGCTGCGCACCGCTCGAGGGTGTCGTTTGTCACCGTCGCCATGACCAGCGCGTCGCGTCTCTGGACACGGAGGGGCCCCACGCGACGCGCCGCCGACGGCTGGCGAGGTCGCCCGCTGCCTGGCGGCGGCCGCCTGCCAGTGCGCGTGGGCCTGCCAGCGCTGAGGTCGTTTGTCCTGACCGAACTGGATGACGGGGTCCGCCCCGAGGAAGCTGTCGGCGGCCTTGCAGACGTCGTGGGAGAGCCCGTTGTCCTCGCTGAGCACCGCCGCTCCTCCATGCGCTGGCTGACGGCCCGCCGCCCGGAGGAGGCCATGCCGGAGCTCCTGAGGGTCGAAGCCGCCGGCGCGGGCGAGCGCTCCACGGGGGGGCGCGGCCACCAGGATGTCCGCCCAGCATGAGCCCAATGGTGACGGATATGTAGCAGCTTGGGGCGCGAGGTGCCCGCGCAGCATGACCGCGTGCTTGCGCGGGATACGGGGCCGCTCCCCCAGGGCCCTCAGGGCCCCCACGTTCGTCAGGATCCGAGTAGGCTTCCGATAGGGTGCCCCGAACATACTCATATCGAAATTCACCTCGACGACGGCGGGCAGCCCACGAAGTCGAGCGACGGGCTCGAAATTCCATAGCCTCGAAGTTCTGGGGTTCTCGACGCCCCAGTAGCAACCCCTGCGTGACCATACGTGACAGAGTGGCCGCGAAGAGTGCGAACTCGACCCCCAGCCTTTCCTTAGCCCGTGCACGCGCGTGGTTATTGATCCCCCGGCGTGCGATACTCCAAACCGAACAAGGTGTCCCAAGATGTACGTATAGTAGTCGGCCACTGCGGGCCAAATCCAAGAGAAAGTTATGCGTGCTTCTGCGAGACAAGTCGAACTCCCACCCGTCCTTTATGTCCACGGGGTCGGACAAGGGAAGCCCGACCTTTCTGCATGCTCGAGTCAACTGCCCCAGACCACCAAAGAGCTCCAAACAACAAACTGACTCAACAGGCTCGCTCTGATCTTTTTGGGCAGGAAGCAAATGAGAGCGATGCCGACGAAGGAAGCAACGGGGAGGAGAGAGGTTGCGTCTCACACCCCTCGGAGCCCGGCTGGTAGACTGCCGAGCTCGGCGCGCCAGCAGGCGCGCTGTCCGGCCCCTGGCCGCGGGACGGGGCGGCGCCCGGCCCGGGCGGCGAGCGCCCCGTCCCCGTCACTCGCTTGGCGCCCCAGCGGCGCGAGTCCTGGTCGCTCGGGTTCCGATCCGTCTCGATGCAGCGAAGACGCCATGCTTTCTGCCCTCCGAGGCGGTAGGCCGCAGCTCGCCGGCACAACGACTGCAGCCCTGCGCTGGAGCGGCCCTTCTCATAGGCCCCCACGGCCACCTGGCTGTCGCCGAGGGTGAGCAGCTTCGAGCCAAGCCGCCCCACTGTGCGGCAGTGACGCCGCAGCCCCATCAAGGCCACCCGAGCTTCTTTCAAATTGATGTGCTCCTCCTGCCAGCGCCAACGGTCCGCCGATACGAACTGGCAGCGCTGCCGCCCGGTCCGGCCGTCGGCCAGGCGAGGGATCCCCCCGTCGAGGTCGACCTTGGCCCGAGGGCGCCGCGGCGGCGTGGCCGCTGGAGGCGGCCCGAGACGCAGGTCGTCGGCTCGGGCCCGCAGGGCCTGGCCGAAAGCCGTGCGCAGCCCCGCCGCGAGGCCGGGCGCGACGCCCCGCACGTAGCCGAGACCGTCGGTCATGTGGCCCTCCTGCACGGGGACGTCGCGGTAGCGCCAGCGCTCTCTCCATCTCCAGGCCTCGCGCAACTCGTCGGGCTCGGCCTTCGTCACGTGGAGGGCGTAGCGTCGGGTGGAGGAATCCCCGCAGTAGACCTCGCTGGAGAGGCGGGCGCCCAGGTCGGCCTCCATCAGGAAGGGGAGGTTCATCGCACAACGGATCTCGGACTTCCCGGACGGCCACACGCGCATGGGCACCTCTAGAGTCTCCTCGACGAAGCGGTAGCACTCGTTCAGCGCGGACATGGCCTCGGGGCACAGCTGGTTCAAGTTCACCACGTGGCCGAGCCAGCACTGCAAGGCGTGCCCGCGCAGCTTGCGACGGCGCAGCAGGGCGTGTCCAGCCAGGTAAGTCCGCCAGACGCGTCGGGGAACATGCCGTTACCGTCGGTCGCGCCAGTGGCACACCCGGCCCAGTGACTGCATCTCAAACTCGTCGCGGGGCCCCACGTCGAAAGGCATGTTGCCCTCGCAAAAGCTCTTCTCAATCTCGTGCATCTGCTTCCAGGCGTCGCCCGCGCAGCCACCGACGACCTGCACGTTGTCCACGTACACGCCGGCCACGCACTTGCCAGGCTTCATCACTGGAGCAGGCTGCATCTCACACATGATCTGGTCAGCACCTCCGCCCAGGGCCCGCTCCACACGGTGAGTCACGGCCTCATTGGCGAAGAAGAGGTCCCACGACCAGCCCATGCAGACAGCGGCCATGCATGGGTAGAGTACCTCGCCGTCCTCGACCTTGGTCTCCGCCCCCTCGGCGTCGTCCCAGATCATGGCCGGCCGGCGCCCCATCTCCTCCAGCTCGTGGGTGTCGAAGCGGTCCTCGAAGCCGAACCGGGAGGCGAGCTCGGGGACGGTGTAGTTGTAGAAGCAGTCCCCGACGTCGCCCTCCTCCCCGCGCGGGCTAGCCGCAAGCCCCGAGCCGATGCCGCCGAAGCCGGAGGCTTTCAGCCTGGGGTCGGAGAGGTCCAGGTCAGCCATACAGCGCGAGGACCCCAGTCGCGTGGTAGGTGGCGGGCGATGCGCCCGATTGGCCGCTCGGGCGTCAATGATCAGCCTCTGCAGCCCATCCTTCTTTTTGACCACGAAGATGCCCGCGCGCCCCTTCAGCCGCCGGCGCCAGGTCAGCAGGCCCTGCTGGCACAAGCGCTGGCACAGTCGCCTCCGTAGGTCTCGCGAGCGCCGAAGCTTGGGGCCCCAGTAGGGCGAGGACGCCACGCTCTCGGCTCGATCCTTCTCAAGCTCCGTCTCATCCATCTCGATCAGATCGGCTGAGTGTCTGAGGTAGCCAAGGGCTGCAGGAGGGAGCTCGCGCCGAATGGGTCGCACGTGAACCTTCCGATGCAGGATCTTGACCTTGTCAAACTCGAAGCTGGCCAGGTTCTTGGGCCCCATGCCGTAGTGGTCTCTAGAGTCGAGGATCTCCGACAGGGATGATTCCTCGGCAAGGTCATCAGGGCAGCCCCCATACGCCTCGACCCGCCGGGCGACGTTCTGGAGCATCCAGCGCTGCACGGCGGTGGGCCAGAGGTGCCCCTCAGGTGGAAAATCGCGCCCCTGGGCACGTCGCGAATCCAGGTTGGCGGCGGCAAGCTGGTTCAGGGCCCGAACCGAATCAAAAACTTACCGTAGCCGCACAGCGTCACATGCATCGCCGAGGGCAGCAGCATCTCGTGGCAAAGGGAAAGGATCTCCGCGCCGTCGATCTCGCGCCCTGACCCCTCCGGACGCGGAGGTGGCGAGCCCACGCAGTTGTCGGCCGCGGGGGCTTTGTCGACGCCCGGGCTGCCAGCGCCGGCGCCCCCGCAGCCCCGAGAGGCATCATCCCTCGTCGCCGGCGCCGCCTCCGGCGCCGGCGTCATTCCCCTTCTTCTTCTCCTTCTTCTTCTTCGGACCTTTTCCGTCGTCATCTCCGCCCTTCTTGCCGTCGCCCTTCCTCGTCTGCTTTTGCTCCTCACGATAGAGCCGCTCTTGCTTCCAGATGGCGGCCCCTCTCCTTGAGGCGGTCGGTGACCCAGGAGTTGACCTTCGAGGTCGAGGCACGGCCCAGGGCGTTGATGGGCGCGGATATGACTATGTCGAGGCCACTGTAGTCGGGGTGCCGAGGGTTCCTTTCCACCGCTATCTCCGTCTGGATCAGCCAGCGCACGATGAGCTCGGCCGACGCCATCATCGAAAGGACGACCTGGCCCCAGGAATGCATGAGACGAATCACCTCACACAAGTTCCGATGCACGTGGATGACGGCCGACCCCTCGCCCACGCCGCTGAGACGCCCCCACTCCGCCTGGTACGAGGTCATGTTGCCCGGCCCAGCGCCGACGCTATCGAGGAACTCCTTCACGCTCCTGATGCCGGCCAGGGGGAAGCCCTTCTGCTCGGTGTCGCGCATGAGGGCGACTGCCTCCGTCAGGTGGAGGACCCGCTGCCCAGCGTCGTCCGCGTGGTCGCCGAGCGCGCGGACGTCGCCTATGTCGGTCTTCGTCTCCTTCTTGAAGTCCGCCAGGCCGCTAGCCGCTATCTTCTGCACAAAGAACTCCTCGCCATCCAGCACCACCACGCCCTTCATGTCGAAGCTCGTGCCGTGAGCGTCGTCGTCCATCAGCGCAGTGTCCACGACCTCGCCGAACCTTGCCGAACGAGCCTCAGCGATCACCCAGATCATCCGCTCCACGGCGTCGACCTGGCCGACCCCCAGCAGCTGGCCCTGCATCTTCGCCCTGCGCTGGTAGCCGGCCAGCGCCGCGCCCGCGATGGGGCCGTGAGCGAAGACCTGGTTCGCCAAGTGCGGCGGGAACGGCGCCCGCCTCTCCACCACCTCGTGCTGGACGGTCAGCAGCTTGATCCGCACGAGCGCGAGGTCCGGGGTCAGCGCGATCCAGATGTCGCCGTCCACGCGAAACCAGAGCACCCTGTGGTGCCAGTAGAACCCATGCGGATCGTTCTCGTACCTCACGAAGATCTGCGGGTCCGCAATGTCCAGGGTCAGCACGTCAGCCATATCGCCGGCTCGGGGTGCTCGGCCTGGCGCCGCCCGTCAAGGCGACCGTCGGCGGCGGCTGAGGCTCTGACGGGGCCGCTGCCGGCGCCTTGCGCGGAGGGCCCACCTCGGGCCCCCGTCCGCGCCCGCCGCAGCAGCAGCGCCGGCACCAGCCGGCCAGGAACCCCAGCGCTCCAGCGCCCGAGGTCGCGAGGCCGAGCACCAGCAGCCCGGCGAGGAGCAGGCACCGGAGCGCCCAGACCTCCGCCTGGAGGGTCACGACCTCGCCCTGGAGGTCGATGATGCGCCGAAGTTCCTGGTCGCAGGAGCAAGGGCCGTCCTCCTCCGAGCCACAGGCCAGCGGCGGCGGCGGGTGCCAGGCCGGGGCCACGGGCGTCGCCCAGCCCCACGACCAGCAGGCTCCCAGCGTCGCGCTCCACGCGGCCGCGAACGTCGCCCAGAGCGAGGGCGGCCCGTCCATGAGCCGCCCGCGCGGCGGGCCTCTCGGACTTGAGCAGCACGGATGCAGAGGCACGTGCGGGCATTCGCTGGCGGGCGAGTGAGGGCCGAGGGGTATTCACGTCTCTGACTATACATATACAAGCATACGTTCATGCGCGTGCATACGTGCATACATGCATACGTACACATACGCATACATGCATACATGCACACACACGCATTGTAGCACATACAGTATTCAAACCATATGTAAACAAAAAACAAATACAGACAGACAAACTAACTATAATACAGACAGGCAAACATAAACAAACAAACGTACGTACATACGCATGTGTGAACGTGCGCGCTTGCCAGCGAGGACCCAGAACAGTGAGTATGTGAATGTGGATGTGCCAGCTACGTGGCGGAAGCAATGTAATATCAAACGAGAGAATGAGATCGCAATGAAACGGAGAGCCCCCCACCGGGAAATCGGCTTCGGTTTCGTGTGCGTGTCGGGCGTACGGGCGAAGCGAAGCTGCGTGGGCGGGCGAGAAGGATAAACCCTCCTGTGGCTAGGGCGCCGCCGGATCAAAAGACCGCCCACCCCAGGTTGTCCTGCGGTGGCCAGGGGTGTCCCGAGGGTGTCCCGCCAGTGTCCCGTCGGTGTCCTGGCAGTATCCCATCGGTGTCCCCTTCGTGTCCCGTCGGTGTCCCGTCGGTGCCCCGTTGGTGTCCCGTCGGTGTCCCGCTAGTGTCCCGTAGTGAGATCGACAGCGAGATCGATAGTGAGCCCGATAGCGAGATCGACAATTCGATCGATCGTGAGATCAATAGTGAGATCGGTAGTAAAGCCCGATAGTGATATCGATACTGAAATCGATAGTGCGAGGGATACTGAGATCGATAGTGAAATCGATTGTGAGAGGGACGCTGATACCGATTGAGAGATCCATAGTAAGATCGAGTGATATTGATAGTGAGATCGATAATGAGATCGATCGAGTGAGATCGATAATGATATCGATAGTGAGATCGATCGTGAAATCGATAGTGATATCGATACTGAAATCGATAGTGAGATCGATGGTAAGATCGATAGTAACCCGATAAGTGATAGATAGTGACATCGAACGTGAGATCGATGGTGAGATCGATTGAGTGAGACGTCGGTTCCTCCCACCCGAACCTCCTCATCACACGAAGGGTGGTCGTCCAGGCAAACGATGAGGTTTGATGAATGTGTTGCATTTGATGCAGTGCAGGCTATGTTGAAGCTATGTGGTGCAAGCTGTGTGGGTCAAGGAATGTGGCGCAAGCTACGTGGCTTGGGTGAAGCTGTGGGGTCTGAGCTAGTGGGGGGGGGCACAGAATCAACTACAATTGTCGCCGACACTTGTGTCATCAAGTGGCTTGAGCGACGACACTTGTGAAACCAACTTGTGGCATCAAGTCAAAATCCCAATCAACTTGTGGAATCAAGTAGAAATCCGAATAAGCTTCTTGAAGTAACTTGTGAAATCAACTTCTCATCGAATCAACTTGTAAAAGTTACTCGTGAAATCAATTTCCCCTTGAATCGCCAAAAACCGAATCAAGCGTAACCTTGCGGCCAAGCTGTGGTACAATAGCTGTGGCGCAAGCTATGTGGTGCTACCTGTGTGGTGCAGTCTATGCGGAGCAAGTCATGTGGTGCAAGCTATGCGGTGCTACCTGTGTGGTGCATCGTGTCTGGTGCAAGCTGCAGAAGAAGCTAATTCGGTGCAGCCGGCGCACGAGGCGGTGACCAGGCGGCGACGAGGCGGCGACGTGCGGCCACCAGGCGAAAACCCGCAAGCCCAGGCCAGCGCACGAGGCAACAGCGAGGCGGCGACGAGGCGGCCGCGGGCGACCGCCGGGCGAAAGTCCGCCACAGGGCAGGCCAGGCCCATGCCAGCGGACGACGCGGCGACCATGAGGCGACGGGGGGCCATTGGCGACGACTGGGCGAAGACCCGAAGCCCATGTCAGCGCACGAGGCGGCGACGGGCGGCAACGGGCGGCGACGA